TGTGTCATTCCTGTCAACATTTAACGTCCTCTGAAAAAGGAACCACAAAGGCTCTGTAACAGAGAGATGTAATTCAAACTTAGACTGACCGAACGCATAGAAGATTCGCTGTTATCATATTGTAGATTATCAGTACAATAGGCATCTGTAAGCCTACACATCGTATTTTTGCATATTGCAATAAGAAAATCATACTTTACTTTAGAGTGTGATATTAACCGCTTTACTGTAGTGGCTACAATAAAAAAGAAAACAAACAAAACCAAGAAAAAAGTAATTATATCACTTGATATAATTAAAAGAACCTCAATTCATCTCAGATTTCCCCTCCTCAATCTCAAGGTAGAAAAAAGAGCCAAAGAAACAAATCCCATTTTCCGTAGTATCTTGACACATATATGACATCTACCTCCATTCATATCCTCGCATATATAAATTATATAAATACCACAAATATTTTAAGAGTTTTGATAGAAAGGTAGACATCTAGAAGACCTGCACATTCCTAGGAGCTGCAGTCCCATGTTTTTACCTGTTTGAAAGGGGCACAGTGTAGAGAGAATGAGAAATTGTGGTTCCCAGGGGCATACAGAAAAGCTCCCTAAGGTTACATGTCTAATAATCCAGCAACTATCTTTTTACATACAGTATTTGCTGTGTACGTCTCCATTTCGTATTTGTGCATTACATATTGTAAAAACATGTGCATGTCTTTGGCAAAAGAAATATCACAAACAGCTAGGACGGATTTTCTCTGTCTGGCTGTCACCTCGTGTTGTCAGCTCCTATACATCACATGCATTTTTTCTCAGAAAGCCAAAAAATTAAGTTTGGAGATATCCAAACAGACCTGGCAAATGTCACCCCAAAAGCATAGGCCCAGTTTAAAGATACCTGAACTGTCTTTCATAATATGCACACGATTTAGTAAGAAACAAAAGTCAGCACTTATTCTACAGCCTATAGTATCGTTTTCAGATTGAAAACTAAATACAAGACCCCCACCCAGCTAGCTAAAAAAATTTTATTTCTTATAATTACTTCCAGAGATGAACAACTGCGATAGCAATTGCAGAGAAAGATTTTGCACTATGTGAATGAACTTTTGCATACTGAAACACATCTTAAGAAAGATACTGAAATATGTTTCCATAAAGAATTTTACAAAGAAGAAACTTGCCTATTTATAATTGATAGTGAATGTTTATGGACCAACATACATGTTTAATCTCAATAATGTTAATGAATGTTCATGTGGAACAAGAACATAATACCAAAATACAGTAAACAGGCTTTAAACAACATGACAAATTAAAATTTTTTCCTTTGCTTTCTTACAAGAAAAAAAAGTACCGAGGAGACAATTAAAAATGGAATCCCTACTGGGCTGTATTTTAAGCCTGATGAAAAAAATAAAGGATTATCTGAATGACAGTATGCAACTCCAGTTGAGAGATCTAAATCAACTAAACTGATTTAGAAAAAGACCAACATTGCTCCAGAAGTCACTGTGGCTTAAGTATTTTGTAGTTCCATGACTACATGTAGTTTCTCCTCCATGACAACAGGATTTCTCATACTGCATACCACTTACCTTCTACTTTTGACATGCTGATGTCAGTTGACTTTCACAAACAAAATGTAACTGATTTTTTAATTAAATGGACCAATTTTAAGTACCATACTTCACAGTAAGCCAAGAGTCAGAACTCAGATTTCCACCACCGTCACCCCGCACCACCCCTATTTATTCACTTCACCTGTGGCCATGAGCTCCTGGCAATGCATACTAGCTGCTTTGTAGTCCTGGAAACTGAGCGCTTGTTCCACTAAAAGTATTAAAACTTGACCTTTTCTCTCCATCTGATCATCTCCTGTAAGAAAAAGTCAACATTTTTATTAGTTAATTGGCATTAATGGTCAATTTAAGCTTGCTACTTTAATTCTTATGAAAACTATATGCCACAACATGAAAAGCCCATCTTGAAATTGCAACAGAAATAAAATTATCTGCTTTGCCTGAAGGAAACAATAAAAACAGTTATGTATTTTAAAAAACATTGGCATCATAGCTAGTGTGAAAAAACAACAGCTACAGAGCATGTTATGTCTAGGTTAAAAAAAAAAGTCTTGAAAACTATTTATGTGATGGCCAAGTTATAGATCAAAACTAATATTTAAGGTGACATATAAATCAAAAACCTGACACTGAAAAAACACTTCTGTGAACTGTTACAGAAGAAGATTTTGAAATATTTCATTGTTTTGTTGCAGTATACAAAGCCCCAGTTTAAATTCCCACTTCACAGAGCCAAATAATTTGAGAGATGTGCAAGACACAGGTATTTAAAAAACGCTACACTCATAAATTGAGCGAGTAGAACCGAAACTATTTTTCCACACCATACATGCATCTTGGTCACCAGACCTTCTGGACAACGCCTCTTCCCCCAGTTATGAGTCAAACATAACACTTCAGACACTACGGATCTCATGGAAGTTATTTACTTTACTGACACCAGTTGGTCCAGTCTTGTGCTCAAAATAGGGCATATGTCCATGTACTATATGAGAAGGTGACTAAGCATACACGGGAAAAAGAATCTCATGCTATTAATTTTAATTTAGGAAAGAAGGATGGCAGGAAGCTAATAAAAAGTAGTGGATTTTTTCAGTACAAGCTTCTTGCTCATGTTTCTCCCCTATTATTAAAAGTGATTTTACACAGTCACTGTTGTTTAAGTCATTTGAAAAGGGCACTGATTTATGAAACTGTATTAGTACAACTTGTGAAATGCAAATATTCCAGAAGGTTAAAGTGATTGGGTTCCAAAAACCATTTAAAGAGTACATGTTCTTAAATTGCAAAGCTGTTACTTTTAACTCTACTTTGCAGGTCCATCAACACAGGCAAAGCAAATTTCTTTTTAAAGCTTTCTCAAAAGAAAAGATGTAGCAGTTGCAATAGAATGACCTTCAGGGAAGTGAAGTTACCCTAATTATTGAACTCAGTCAAGATTCCCCTAATCCCAGCGTGTCATAACTAAATCAGCTGGGAGAACAGGTTGGCTTCCCATCATTTTATCTTTTGGCCTCTTGTTCTATATACTGCCAACCCATGATGTTGCAAATTAATCACATCCAAGGCTCTTCTGTTGCAAAACTTTGCCCTCTGGAACGCGGAACTTCTCATGCAGGCAAAAGCAATTACAGATGACAAAGAGGTGCTTCTGTCGACACAAGCTAAATGTGAACTGTCATTTCTATAAGCAAGAGATCCATACTTGCCACTCACCTCCCGATGCCCACTTCACCCTGACAGCTTTACTACTTACAGAGTGATCTGACTAAATAAAAGGCAAGAGAAATAATCAAATTATTGTCCCTCAGATTTCAGCTAGACAAAACAATCACTGCTATTTATCACTACCTAAAATTCAGTGGGAATGTAGGGAAGAGAGGAGGAACACTTGGAGTAATGAACGGTTTTCTTAACTGTGCTTGAGCAGTCATGTGCTGACAAGTCCCTATCGCCAATGTTTTAGCTAATTAGCTTTGATGCAGTAGGACACATCTCCGCATGTTTGGCAAAAGCACAGCCATAAAATATAAGAATCATTTTCCTTCCAGTCCATGGCTATACATGCTCATCTTATCTCCGCTGTTCACTCATTTAAACTTCCATTATCTTGACACATGCTGTTATGCCACAGAACAACTGTCAGCTCCAACATGACTAGTGAATCCCCTGCAACGCACAGCCTGAGCCCTTTTTTACATGGCTTTCATTGCTTCAACAGTGCAGTCACTTAAAATACTACCTGCTGCAGATTAGCGGCACGGTCTTGTTCTTCTATTCAAACATGAAACAATTCACTGCTTCAGCCTCAGCATGCCTCACTTGAAGGCATTTTTAATAACAAAGTCTTATGAGACTGGAAGTTTTGAATTCTGAATTGTTCCCCTTGCCATTTTGACAGACATTCAAGATTTAAAACCAAGAAAGGTTCAATGAGAAAAACCATTAAAATGCCCTTAACGTCTGACATCCAGACTCAAACAAATCAAGTTCAGATACTGGAAAGGGCATCTTAGTTTTTGTTTTCCTTTTATTATTTGTGAAAGTTTGTGTGTGTTCATCTCCTTTGGACTATTGTCTCCTTGCATCATAAGGAAACAGTCTAGGAGGTTCCTGGAGTGTGTGGAAGGTAACTTCCTGACACAGCTGGTGGAAGGCACTCCACTGTACCTGTTCATGAAGACAGAAGGACCTGTAGGTGACATGATGGTCTGAGGCTGTCTTGGGCATAGCAATCACAAAATGATAGTATTCAATTCTTGGAGAAGTAAGGAGGGGTCAGCAGAACTGCTACCTTGGACTTCCAATGGGCAGACTTTGGCCTGTTTAGGAGCCTGGTTGACAAAGTCCCTTCGGAGGCAGTTCTGAAGGGCAAAGAAGTCCAGGAAGGCTGGACATTCAAGAAGAAAATCTTAAAGGTGCAGGAACAGGCTGGCCCCATGTGCCAAAAGACAAGCTGGGCAGGGAAGAAGACTGGCCTGGCTGAACAGAGAGCTTTGGCTGGAACTCAGGAAAAAAAGGAGAGTTGATGACCTGTGGAAGAAGGGGCAGGCAATTGTTGTGAGGTTATGCAGGGCGAAAATTAGAAGGGCCAAAGCCCAACTAGAATGTAATCTGGCTACTGCCATAAAAGACAATTAAAAATATTTCTATAAATACATTAACAACAAAAGGAAGACTAAGGAGAATCTCCATCCTTTATTGGATGTGGGGGGAAACATAGTGACGAAGGATGAGGAAAAGGCTGAGGTCCTTAGTGCTGCCTTTGCCTCAGCCTTTAATAGTAAGACCAGTTGCTCTCCAGGTACCCAGCCCCCTGAGCTGAAAGACAGGGATGGGAAGCAGAACAAAGCCCCCATAATCCAAGGGGTAATACGTAGCAATCTGTTACACCACTTAGACACACACAAGTCTATGGGGCTGGATGGGATCCACTCAACGGTACTGAGGGAGCTGGTGGAAGTGCTCACTGAGCCACTTTCAATCATTTATCATCAGTCCTGGCTAACCAGGGAGGTCCCAGTTGACTGGAAGTTAGCAAATGTGACCCTCATCTACAAAAAGGGCTAGATGGAAGATCTGTGGAACTACAGGCCTGTCAGTCTGACCTTGGTGCCAGGGAAGGTTATGGGGCACATCATCTTAAGTGCCATCGTGTGGCACGTACAGGACAACCACGTGAACAGGTGGTAGATGTTGTCTATCTAGACTTTAGTAAAGCCTTTGACACCTTTTCCCACAGCATTCTCCTGGAAAAACTGACTGCTCATGGCTTGGACAGATGTACTCTTCACTGGGTAAAAAGCTGGCTGGATGGCTGGGCCCAAAGAGTTGTTAATGGAGTTAAATCCAGTTGGTGGCCAGTCACAAAGGATGTTCCCCAGGGCTCAGTACTGGGGCCAGAGCTGTTTAATATCTTTATAAATGATCTGGACAAGGGGATCGAGTGCTCCCTCAGTAAGCTTGCAGACAACACCAAATTGGGCAGGAGTGTTGATCTGCTGGAAGGTAGGAAGGCTCTGCAGAGGGATCTGACAGGCTGCAGGGATGGGCCAAGGCCAGTTGTATGAGGTTCAACAAGGACAAGTGCCGGGTCCTGTATTTAGATCACAATCACCCCATGTAATGCTACAGGCTTGGGGAGGAGTGGCTGGAGAGCTGTCCAGCAGAAAAGGACCTGGGGGTGCTGGTTGACAGCCGGCTGAACATGAGCCGGCAGTGTGCCCAGGTGGCCAAGAAGGCCAACAGCGTCCTGGCCTGTATCAGAACTAGTGTGGCCAGCAGGAGGAGGGAAGTGATTATGCCCCTGTACTCGGCACTGGTGAGGCCGCACCTCGAATCCTGTTTTGGGCCCATCATGACAAGAAGGACATTGAGGTGCTGGAGCGTGTCCAGAGAAGGTCAACGAAGCTGGTGAGGGGTCTGGAGCACAAGTCTTCTGAGGAGCGGCTGAGGGAACTGGGGTTGTTTAGTCTGGAGAAGAGGAGGCTGAGGGGAGACCTTATTGTTCTCTACAACTACCTGAAAAAGGATGTCATAGCAAGGTAGGTGCCGGTCTCTTCTCCCAAGTAACAAGTGATAGCACTAAAGCAAACAGCCTCAAGTTGCACCAGGGTGGTTTTAGATCGGGTATTAGGAAAAATGTCTTCATCAGAAGGGTTGTCCAGCTTGCCAGGGGCTTGAACAGGCTTGCCAGGGAAGTGGCTGAGTCACCATCCCTGGAGGTATTTAACAGACATGTAGATGGGGTGCTTAGGGACATGGTTTAGTGATGGACTTGGCAGTGTTAGGTTAATGGTTGGACATGATGACCTTAAGGGTCTTTTCCAACCTAAATGATTCTATGATTCTATTACAAATGATGAGAAGAAAAATATGGAAGCTCAGAAAAAAACAGATAAACATCTTTTCTTGAGAAATAAAAGGATGTTTAAATACTTTTTAGAAGTTTGGATCCCATTTGGGTCATATTAAAAAAAAAAAAGCTTATTGAAACACTTTGAATACGATGCATGCTATATTTGTGAGTGGATAAAACAACATTATCCTGAGTTGAAACATGTAATGAAAACTTAAAAGTCAAATGGTACCAAAATTCTATGTATACCACAGAAATTCCATGTCACCTACATTTAGGAGATAGAAACCATCTGCCATGGTTACTTCCACATACGTTAAGCAAGAAAGTCAGTGTTGAGGAAAGCAGCTTTCAAAAATGAGCTTTGCCTTAGGAATGTGAGCAAAGCTAGTTGTTAGCTAAAAACAACTAAGCAGAAAGTTAAAAAAAAACCCTAGACCACACTAGCTAAAAAGTTACTAGAATTAGCTCATGGATATTAAAATTAACTAAATTATGATATCAAAGATGTGAGAAAAAGAGAATAATGAGCAGAAAACATTTCTAGAGACCCTGACTCAAGAAATAAAGAGCAATGCTCACTAGATCTTTTTGATACACAGTAACAGCAGAGAAAATGCTCTTAATTTCTGAGACATAAGCATTTTTTTACTCCTCTGTTTTATAAAGCAAGCCATTACATAAAGTGAATTCTTTCATAACCTTTCTTAACTGAGACTGTGGATTAAGTGAGGATTGCAAGCTGTAGGACAGCTCCAGCTCCCTGAGCAGGTGCAGATTTTCTGGCTGTCATGCTGAGCCCATTCTCCTTCACCCACTTTGCCCATCTGTGAAATAAGGTAGCACTTGTGTGCTTACTTTACAGAGGTAGTGATGTGAGGCTTAATCAAATACTTCAAAGCACTTAAGCTAGCTGACATACCATTACCTAAGCAATATTTTAGCTTTGATAAGTATGAATATAAATTCTACTACTCACTTTCAGTGCTGGTCTCTAAACAAAATGTAGTCAGAGAACACAGCTCCCAAAGCACCTTGAGGATGACCATGTACGTTCTACCCTTGTATGCATAGCAACTGCATTCTTTTAGAATGAAAATTAAAATATATATGCTTATAGTATTTTATAGACTTTTTATTACAAGTAGTATACTATAACGTATACTATATGCTTTATATATACACATATAAAATTTATATAGGTATGGATAGGTGTAGCAAGCAGGTCTTTCACAATCAGTAATAATAAGGGGTGGGGTGGCAAGGGGAGCAAAGAGGTGGAAATGCTGAAACAAATTCCTCCAGTTAGCAGATAAAGCACAAGAAAGCGCTCTACTAGTAGATACACATGGTGGATCGGAAACAGAAGGGACTGCAAATTTGAGCATGCATAACCAATACTGGTAAGTAGGTTCCACAAGACAAAATTAGAACTTCTTTCAAGCAAAGGTGGCTCATAAATCAGGATAATTGTATAAGTAGTGAAAACCAATTAGGGACAAAACCAATTCTTTTTTCCAGCAGTACTTTATCTAATTCTTCATTAAGTAAGTCCATGAAGTTCAATCCCTAGATTCTTTTCCAATATCCAGACTCATCCCAATATATCTCGATAAATCTATTTCCTTTCATCATAAGTCGATAGCTATCAAGTTACCCTTTCCCATTATTTTTAAACCTGCTAACAAAGACTATCTATGTAGAACTGCAAGGAAGGTTTTCCTTTTCTAATATTCAGTTTAAAATAACATATACTCATTCATGAATCTTGAAACCTGTATGCATGAGCTGCCTTTTTGGCTGCAAACTCATCTGTGGAATAATATTAGCATTTGTTATCATTCTTATGACTACCAAGTCCTAAAATAACTCTTCATCATATTAATAATTAATTTTAACTCAGTAACTTAAATCATGAGCTGACAGATAGAGAAATACCATTTCTACTTGCCTTGCTTTAATTTTTTTTTTTTATACTACTATTAAATTTTATGAGACTCTTCATTTACAGACTATGATGAAGGCCATGCCAGGATTCTACTTAAAATCCATTTTTAAAGGTATTATTAACCTAGCTATTAAAATCATGTGTAACTTGAAATTCAGTGTAAGGTTACCTATCCCAGCACTGACTGAAAGTACATACAGCAGTAACTGAGGACTAAAGACTGAAGCTCTACAAGATTCCCTTTAATCTGTTGGGAAAATACTGCATTTGCATGCATGACAAAATAGCAATGACAATCATGATTCCTTTCTATGCTTTTGGATACTTGTCAATGGGATGGAATGTCAGGCACAAAAAAACCTTGCAGCAATAGTGGTATGATGTTTATAGCTTTCAAGTCCAGAAAAACTAAAAAAGATTAAAGAAATACTGAGTTTCTTAAAATGAAAGAAATCTGTTTTCCATAGCCTATCTCCTACAATAAGTAAGTTTATCTAAAATTCACAACTATGACATTCTCATACTGAATCCACATCTTGCTTATAAATGAATATCCTGTAAAGAAAACAGTATTTCCATGTAAGTAATATGACTAGTCAACCCTCAGTGACACTGAAATGGTTTTTAGTCACAAAAGCTTAAAAATACTCATTAAAAAAAAAAAAAAACACAACAAGAAAAAACAACACACACACACAAAAAAAACAACAAATAAAAAAGCTACCACATCCACAGAACTAATGGAAATGTTTTCTTGCCTTTTTTTCCCCTTCAAATAAATGTTATTCTATAACCAAAAGATAACCTTAAAGGTGTCTTAGTTATTTGTTTATTTATTTAGCATATTAAACAAGAAAAGCAAGTGTCAAAGTAGTGTTTTCCTTACCAAGATTCACTCTTGAAATACACTTTTACTACTAAAATTCCATACTTCCATACAGGAAAAACTGTTAAGAGTTATTCCCAAGGCCAACCCTTAAAGTGAGAGGGCCCAACACTCTTAGAATAAATATGTAATGTGTAGCCTAAGCAGTAGTTTTTAAATCATTCACCTACTTAAAAATTAACCACCTCACACATTCATCTTCTGGTTTTCTTCAGCCCGGTAATCACACGGAAGAGAAAATCAGGAGGCCATTTCATCATCTGGCTTTAAATATCTCTTTTAAATTTCTCTTTTCACTTGTATCTCAGTAAGTGCCACTGTGGTCATAACACTAGCACACAGCAGACAGACATTACCGTATCCATGAGCTCTATATGAATTCCCTAAGTTCTCTACCTAATATATGTTGCCTCTCATCTTTCAGTCTCTGTAGATGCTGCTCTACAACTAAGGATAACACTACTGGACAAAAATACTTTACATTTTTAAGCTTCATAGAATCATTGTGGATTTTGCTTTTCCTCATCTCATACAAAGAGAATCATTTATATGCAAAAAGGAGGTAAAACAAAAATCTGCAGCATTAGCCTAAAGAATCCAGAATGTTAATAAGAAGAATTGACAGATTTTAACTTGATGTGGGAGGAAGCGGAGAGGGGAAGGTAAGAGCTGTACCACAATTTTGTCTTATTAATGGAGATAGTTATCCAAAAGCCTGACAAGCGAAAAAAAAAAAAAAAAAAAAAAAAAGAACAGAAAATCACATGTAAAATGAACAAGTATGTGGATTAGATCCAGCTACCTAACACGGTACCATCCCCTACCCTCTGACATCTTCCAAGTAGCAGCGCTACGTAACAGGAGCACTGAGTTTACCAGAGTCACAACGTTTCCAGTGATTCCTCTCCTCAGAGCCCAGGCATCTCCGGAGGCCAGTATCCGAAGCTTTGTACGTCTCTGTTCATATCCTCACCAAGCCCCCCTGAACATCTCCCTCTCTATATACATTACTATGCAAAAATTGCCAATACTAAGCTTGCTGAAAACATAACCAAAAAAAAAAAAATCTTAAATTATTTCATAGAGAGAGAAATTAATTAGCCAGGCATGCATCAGTGACAAAGCCAGAATGCACTGATTTTATACACCACGCTGCATGAAATATGAATTTCTATTTTATATTATTTTATATTTCTAGATACTATTTCTACATCATAAAAATACAGCAGTATTGTATTTGCAGTTGCACTGATGAACTATTTTTCAAAAAAAAAAATGAAAGGTCTGACAGACACTTTAGGTAGGCTGTAATATCCTTAGGATTCAATCCTTGAAGATGTTCAGCTCCTCAAATGAATACTCAAGCTAACACACTATTTTTAGTGTGCAAAGGAGATACACGAAGCATAGACAAAAGTCTAAGAGCTGAAGTTTATGCGTTACAGATTACTTTTTCCCCCTCTAACTTAAATAGGACTATATTATTAAATCAAACTACCTTATTTGGCAGAGACAATAAGGTTTACAGGAATTTCAGTACTACCAATTAACTGTAAAGCAAAATATTCTCAGTCACAACCTCTCCGATCTGAAATGAGCTTTTACTCAGAATCCAGATTAGACAAGGCTGTTTTTATTCTAGGTATTAGTGGAACATCAGAGCAGCTGAAAATACCATCTGTTTTACAGATAAAATATGTCATTCATGTTAAATATTTCATTCCTCCCCAACGGCTGCTCTTCTGGATGATTTTTTAGTGATACCCTTGAATACTGTATTTCAATATTATATATACACACTACACTGTAAATATACTATAGTATACTATATAAATATAGTATTGAAATACAGTATTTCTAACGATCAACTCAAATGTCCTAAAGCATAACACAAATGGATACTGCATTAGAATTCAGTGTCTTAAAAACACAGCTTACCTGCAACCCTGAGCAAATTCGCAAGTCCCAGGAGCTTAGCAGACTGCTTATAGTTCGTTGACAACTGAGCAAGACAGTCTTTGATGAGACTAAGTCGATCCGAACATAAACGCACTGTTGAGAGAAGAACTGGTGTTAGAGACTGTACAAATGAACCCTACTGCTGTATTTCTGGTTAAACAACGTAGATGCAGAAAGAGCGTTAGGGAGTATCAGAACGCAAATAGAATCTGAAAACCAGCCCAAAGTTACTTGCATGCAGATCATCAACTATAACTATAAACAGAAAGTTAAAATAACACTACCATGTATCCAGCCCCAATCACTAGCAAGTCAGGCTGGGAAGGGACAAAGAAGAGGGAGACTGGCCAGAATGAAAACTTTTTTTTCAAAAATTGTAGAATTTTTTAAATATCATTTTTGCAACATTCTCAAAAAGATGGCTAAAACAGACATTAACTTTCATTCAGAATGCTGTAAATAACTAATATTTCATGCTACATTTTATTTTAGGGTGGACAGGATACACCACAGACTGTCATAGGCAAAATTGTCAGGCTGTTTTAGTTTACATGAGCATTTCCTGAGCAAGCCGAGGGATAGCCTGCAAATCATCAGGTTGTGTTAACCATATCCTGAGAAGTTTATAATTAGTACTGTGTTTCTAAAAATATTTTACCAAGATTTAAACAATACTCTTAATTTTACAATTTAATATCATGAACCAATTTCAGGGCTCTTTTTAGCTAGTCAGCAGGTGGATAACTTCAGGGTGCTGTTTTGAAAAGGTAACATTTTCATACCATGCAAGTTCCTAGAACACTGAGGAAGAGCATGCAGATCTTCCACTTAACACTCAGTAACACATTAATGTCTGCATGGGGGATAAACTCTGCATTAGCATATTGGGATTAAAAGGTATGATATTAGGCCTCTCAATAAGGGCAATAAGCACTCATATAATGAAAACTCCATTACTAAGTTCTGTAAATAAAATTAGACTAAAATGAACTAAGAATGGAGGAGAGGGAAAAGGTTACACTTTCTTTTTTTAATATTCTATCACACACATGTATTAGGATACAACAGTAAAATATTTTCATTCACTGATTGCATAAGCAAGACTTTTTGAAATATCTAACATAACTAAGTAATCTAAAATAATACCATGGGTCAAACACTTTCATTAAAGATGAACTTTCCTTCAACCCCTATGTTAATAAGGAGTCTCCAAACCAGATTTTATTAAAATACATCATAACAGTAGTTCACAGCCTTAACTGCTGAGTTTGCTAAAAATACAAGTAGGTGGGGAAGCTCTACAGAAAACTAAGCATAAAAGTGCAAATGAAAGTCTATTCCCAATTCTCACTCTGGGAATAACCAATCCTTAATGTTATTTTAATTACATTCTATCAAAGTAACTCACCATTTAAACACTTTCATTAAAACTTTAAAACATAATTTTAATCTTATTAGATTAATTTGACTTACATGAAGTTACTGAAGAAAGGATAAGTCAGGATCATTAATGAAATTACAGGCATGATTTCACATATTCTTATTAATCTAGATCAGTTGTATTACACACGCTGTTAATACAATATTATGTTTACACGTTTTTTTATTTTAAGAGATACCTTCACATCCACACTGAAAAAGATGAAGAAAATACATCTGTACTTTTCTACAGGCTGAACAAACTGACTAAAAAACAACTCTGATCTACAAGTCAACTGTGCAGTATTACAAGACCTAGAAATCATACTTATTCTCAGTCAGAAATGGTTAGATTCCTGAGTATAATGTACGGCACATCAGCTCACTTCGAAGGAATACTTGGAAAAGAAAAAAAAAAAAAAGGCAAAAAGAGAACACCAAAGTAAAGTTAACAACAGCCACTACGAACACCTGCTTCGTTTCCCATAGACCCACAAGTGCTTTCCATAAATCCCGGTATTTCTCTGCACAATGCCAGAAGGAAAACACTACCATCAGTATGTTTTATTGGTACTCAGAGCTCCTCTCAGCCAGTTCTTTTAGAGTGCTTTCAATACCAGTGTTCATGCAGTTTCACATAGTTGCCCACATACCATACATTCAAGCTTCACTGACAGCCAGGTAGATGAACTCTTTCTTGCATTTCTTTCACTTTTCTAAGTGGTTGTTTTTTTTGTTTGTTAATAAAGCAATGAACTTTGCTAGTTTGGCACAATCTATAAGAAATAAAACAATCTCCAATATATTCCATTTTTTCCCCTTATCTCATTGTCCATAATTGTGCTTTCTTTCCAACTTCTGCTCAACAACTTTACATACAATTGGAGTCAAGAGCTACCGAACAGATTTAAAGTTTTAAATAAGTAGTCAGAAGAAATACCTTGTAAAAGTTCACTTCCCTTGTCATTGGGTTTTATATACTTCAAAATGAAACAGCCCAGTGGAGACACGAAAATTGCCTACACATGAAATACCTCGCTCCCACCCATTATTTTAAAGCTCAATGGCACATAAGCAAGTACAGATTATTTTGCAAATAAAAGGTAAGCTCAAACTATTTCTGCTGAAGTTACCAGGAGCTTCAAATACTCAGTACCTTTATTTAAAAGTCCTGCTAAAAATAAGTCCCAAAACACAGATTCCATATACAGATACCTTTCTTGTATCACAAACTGAAAAATCTCTTTAAACAAAACCATCTTTCGGTATATGCCTGTAAGCTGTTTGGAGGCAGGGAAGGGACCCTTTAGTTTACTCATGCAACACTCACATAATAGTAAATTATTGTCATGCATGTTTATGCATGTGCTTCAAGTAATCATATCAAGAATAAAAATATACAGTACCTTGTAACGGTAAGATTTTTACACCAAATTCTTCAAGGTAGCCAAGAGCACGAATGAGATCTAGCTCCTCCTGAATAGCACTCGGACAGTCTACAATAAGTTGCAGACAGCACCTAAATAGGAAGCAAACAAATTATTCTAAAAATTGTTGAATAAATTAAAAATTAAATTTGTGGAAAAAAGTTTACCTGTGAGGAAAGAAAAAAGCAAACAAACCCAAAACTAAAACCCACATCTCAACAATTTACTGTGCTTATGAAATGTCAAAATACTCACTAGTCCAGTAACACACATTATAAGTGTTTGGCATTATAGTCCTGTTATGGCTGGCTAAACATTTTAACCAAATTCTATTCTTGAATTGCTGCAATCCTCTTCACCTAGTTGTTGTAAGAACACTGCCTAAACCCTCTTGAAGTTAGACCTGCAATGAATTTAATGAAAGACCTTTAAGACATATGTGCTTAAATATGTAATTCTTTAGGGAAATATTTCCCCTCATGCTGTTGTGTTTTGGTGTTGCCAAATACTGGAAAATAAAAGCAAAATTCTGCAAAAAAATTGATTGAAGTGAAATGCTAGAGCGCTTGTCAAATTCAGCTTCCTCAACTATGCTCAGCAAATGAACACAGAGCTGACTAAAAAAAATAAAATCCTCTGAAAATTTATTCATGCATACAATTATTAATACATCATTTAAACTTCTTTAAAATAATCTGTTTTTGAATATATGAATTGATATAATCAACAATCCCATTTGAACCTGTCACATATTCAGGAGCACTGAAAAACATTTCAGGGTGAAGTGGAGATTAAAATGGGAGTGGAAGGAAAGAGAACTAGATAAGATAAGATAAATATGTTCCACCTAAAACAACTCATGCAGGAAGGTTACTAGAAAACGTACACACTGTGATCATCACTCATGGAAATAAGTAACCGTGAAACAACTGACTGGAGAGAAGTCAGAGAAGGACTGAAACATCTTATAAAACAGAATAAACACACGGTCACATTTTCATAGCAAGAATTCACGCTATAAACTGCATATTTTGAAACATTACCGTAAAACCATAAGATAAAGTTGATCACAGGACCCTTATGAAATATTAAAAACAATGATCCTTTGTATTTCCAGAGTCTGCTAGTGGAAGAGACTCTCAACAGGAGACAGGGGAGGAATCATAAATAAACCCTAATTTCATGACAACATTAAATCAGCTTTTCATACTGATTATAGAATCACAGAACAGTGTGGGTTGGAAGGGATCTTTTAAGGTCATCTAGTCCAACCCCCCACAATAAGCAGGGACATCTTCAATGAGATCAGGTTGCTCATTGCTCTGTCCAACCTGACCTGGAATGTTTCCAGGGATGGGGCAGCTACCACCTCTCTGGGCAACCTGTGCCAGGGTTTCATCACCTTCATGGTGAAAAGTTTCTTCCTTAGATCTAGTCTGAATTTACCCACTTTTAGTTTAAAACCATTACCTCTTGTCCTATCACAACAGGACCTGCTAAAAAGTCTGTCCCCATCTTTCATATAAGCCTCCTTTAAGGACTGGAAGGCTGCAAGAAGGTCTCCCCGGAGCCTTCTCTTCTCCAGGCTGAAAAACCCTGACTCTTAGCCTGTATTCACAGGAGACGTGCTCCAGACCTCTGATGAATTAGGTGGGCACTCAGGTGCAGGACCCTGCACTTGGCCTTGTTGAACCTCATGGGGTTCACACAGGGCCATTCCTCAAGCTTGTCCAGCTCCCTCTGGATGGCATCCCGTCCCTCAGGTGTGTCAACCGCACCACTCAGCTTGGTGTCATCTGCAAACTTGCTGAGGGTGTATTCGATCCCACTGTCCATGGCACTGATGAAGATATTAAGCAGTACTGGGCCCAGTACAGACCCCTGAGGGACACCACTCATCACTGATCTCCATCTGGACATTGAGCCCTTGACCACTACCCTCTGGATGTGACCATCCAATCATTTCCTCATCCATGCATCAGTCCACCCATCAAATCCATATCTCTCCAATTTAGAGAGAAGGATGTTGGGGCAGATCATGTCAAAAGCCTTACAGAAGTCCAGATAGACAACAGCCATAGCTCCTCCCTTGTCCACTGATGTGGTCACTCCATCACAGAAGGCCACTAGGTTGGTCAGGCAGGACTTGCCCTTGGTGAAGCCATGCTGGCTGTCTCAGATCACTTCCCTGTCCTCCATGTGCCCTAGCATAGCTTCTAGGAGGATCTGTTCCATGGTCTTCCCAGGCACAGAGGTAAGGCTGCATTATATTACAGTGCCACAGGCAACAGCAAAGGACTGGACTGCTGGCCCAAAAGGTCTGTTCTGAATAACTGTGCATTTTGTTCCTGCTGCTCCGAAATGAAGGTACTCACCTGTGAAAACCAACCAACCTCTCTGGCTCCTAGCTTAGCCCAGAAGGAAGACTTCTTTCCTACAGATAGAGGAAATCCCACCACTACAGTATCCTTTACCCATACAAGTAAGTATTTAATACAGAGATTTTACCTGTGGCAATTATAGGCATACAGATAAAATTCAGTTGTAATTTGGATATTTTAACAGTGTATGCACCTGCTTCATTGTGATCGCAACTCTTGCACAGTGTATCTAGCAGCCCTGTTCTCCAAAATGTAAAAAGGCTCTACTGATTTAATAATAATATGTTTTTTAATTATAGATAAACTTTAAAAAGCCGGTGACTCTTGGATGTTTTAGGCCTCCAAAGCAAGTATTTACCTACAGTGCTTATAAGCAGTAATGACAGTCAAAAAACTGTGTTTTCAATAAAAAGGTAGGAACAGAGCTAGCATTATACAATTAATACTGTAAATGTGACTGTCTTCCAATTTCAACCCAAGGCGGTATGCCTTGGCTAAAAAAAGCAAACAACAAAACCCCACAAAAGTAAGGGAAAAAACCCCTCACCCTCATCATACATATTTGTGTGTGTGTGTGTGTGTGTTTGGGATGGGAGAAAGGAACAAGCTGCAAGTGATTAGGCAGAAAAAAAAAAATGCCTTTTCAATCATTTGCTAGTTAAGTTATGGAGAGTGTAACAATCAGTGAAGGCAAACTGCAAAAATATTCTTCCTTTAATCTCTAATGGAAAAAATACAATTTTTCAATCCACAAAACTTTATAGTAACTACATTGCACTCAGGAAAACTTCTTAATCTGAAAAAGGATAATTAATTACAACCACTTTGACTGTACTACTATAGTCAATACTCAAAAAAAAATGGTAACATGTATGTACATACCATTATGGGTCAAGATGAATTTGTGTCTTGAAGAGAAGAAAAATAATTTAATCTCTTTCTTGTAATTAGTAGGTAAGTATACTCATGTCTAACTCAAAGTAGTTTTTTATAAAGACATGTCTTCCTTTTTAGTTGAGACAAATATTTTTGTTTGGTTACGCAATTTTGTTTCGTTTTTTTGTTGTTTGGTTTCACAGAATCGCTAGGTTGGAAAGGACCTTCAAGATCATCAAGTTCAACCATTAATCCAGCGCCACCATGTCCCCTAAACCATGTCCTGAAGCGCCACATCCACACGTTTCTTGAACACTTCCAGAGATGGTGACTCCACCACCTCCCTGGGCAGCCTGGTCCAATGCCTGACCACTCTCTCCGTGAAGAAATTTTTCCTAATATCCAATCTAAACCTCCCCTGGCGCAACTTGAGGCCATTTCCTCTTGTCCTATCGCTGGTTACTTGGGAGAAGAGGCCAATACCCTCGTCGCCACAATCCCCTTTCAGGTAGTTGTAGAGAGCGATAAGGTCTCCCCTCAGCCTCCTCTTCTCCAGACTAAACAACCCCAGGTCCCTCAGCTGCTCCTCAGAAGACTTGTGCTCCAGATCCCTCACCAGCTTCATTGCCCTTCTCTGGACATGCTCCAGCACCTCAACATCCTTCTTGTAGTGAGGGGCCCAAAACTGAACACAGGATTCAAGCTGCGGCCTCACCAATGCCGAGTACAGGGGCACGATCACTGCCCTAAAAGTTTGTGGGGGTTTTTTCCATATCTAAATCTATACAAGGATGAACACCGACACTGCAACCTCCAAATCTGCTCTATGTCTTAATTCCTTTCTGAATAATTATTTGGATTACTCCTTAATGTAACATAGAGAGATATTTGATAGCCTCAAACGAACTCTCAGAATCCAGAGAGACACATGTAAGAAAAGAAATGAACGGACTGGCAAAATGCTATTTCCTATTGTGATAGTAACTGGGGCTACGATTGTGATTCAACGCCATGAAGTGGAAAAGGTTCAAATGACACACACAAAAAGCTTCTTAGAAAGACTTTCACATTTCTTCTTCTTCAAGTAGAATTCTGTAACAAATCATTCCAGCAATGAGGGACAGCAATGGTGTACAGACACACATAGACACAAAGCAATGTGTGGGGGTGGGGAGAAGACAAAAAACAACCAACAAAATCTTACAGAAGCCAAAGATATAGTCTCCATTTACCATGTAATTTTACATGAAGAGAAATAAACCCATGTAAGATCCACCCCCTCTTACAGGGAAAACATTATTCAGGTTTCAATTAAAAGAGCAGTATGTTATTTATGTATATGTTCATTGTAAACCTACCTGGCCAAATCCATACAGCTATCTGTCAAACTCGTTGAAGAATTGAAATATTCTCTGCCAGCAGCCAAAACTAGCTCGATACTTTTCGCATAGCTGACTCGGTACTGTGGCCTCCCTTTTGATGAGCTTGGTAGATCCACCGACCAAATACTGCAATGCATCATCTGCCCAGCCAAGTGGATATTTTCTATACTGCTTGAGCATAAAAGACTTTCTGTGAATATCTAAAAGAAAGAACAACAATGTAATTATCTGCTGCAGCAGCAGCTTGAAGTAAGCTTATCTGCATTGTATGGAACCAACCCCTTTGAATAAAAGGATCTTTGAAGTCAAAAGAATATATTCAGTACAGGCAGAAAATGTAACTTCTACCAAGGAGAATATTTCCACAATTTATTTAAGTAAAGCTAAAATTAACTACTAGCTAGTTATTTCTACTTCCTGCAGGAAAAAAAAAGCTTACTAACTACCTTTTTACAGCATAACACAGAGATAAGAAATTATTTATACCTACATTCTGAGGTGTTAAAAAGAATCTTAATGTAATTAAGAATCTGAAGAGGCAGTTCAGTATCAAGACCTTGAAACCAACAACATATAAGAAGAAATTTGGTATCCCTGAAGAAACCATAAAGATGTTTTTTAAGTTTCAATCAAGACTATCTTCAAAGAATGCATACCAACATAATGCTGCACCTGCCACAAAACATTCAACTGATATTTTCAGGTCAAAGTTTTGCCCACTTTAAGACACTCAAAATAATCTCAATTACTTAGGAAAATGAATTGGGTTTTTTTAAACACTGTCAGTATTGTCCTAATGAAAAGAAACATATGCATTTAATTATTTCACAAAATATTGCAGCTGCAACAACATAGCCTTTATTGAAGTTTTTAAACTTTGTAACAATTTAAATAGAATCAATGAATCATAGAAATGTCCATGTTGGAAGGGACCTCAAATGATCATCTGGTCCGACCCTTTGTGGGAAAGGGGGCATAGATAAAAATATCTAGCACCCTGCCCAACTGCATCTTGAACTTAAAAGTATTACTTCACTAGGAAGAACCTCTCCAAACCATCTCTTGCTCTGCAAAGGAACTGTGGTGGTGCATTTCGCCCCCTTCTCCTTGTACCTGGGCCGCTCTACAACCTGAGAAATTCAGTTTCTCCGAGAAGTTCAGAAATTCAGTGGCCTAAACCACTCATTCGTGACAGGAATGCAGCTCAGTGCTTCTTAAAAAACCTCATACAATTGGATCATCTTCCACTTCACAAGATATTAATCTTCAAGGAACAGTGAAAGATGCGAAGTATGATAGCTGATTCTTGTTCCTTGAAGATCACATACATAGAATTCACCTCTCTCAAAATTTATGGACATTAAGTCCTTCTTCAAAAGGACAGGATTCACTTTGCATGCAAGCAGAACAGAGTAAGCATCGTGCTATAAAAAAGATCCCTATACATACCTCACATGTGATTGCAATCATCAATTTCTCAATTTTGAGGTTATCGAAGTATAATTGCATATGCCAGCATGACATTTCGAGGCATTTTAAGCATTCTTAGGTCAAAACCCTTTGTTGTGTTTTTTTAAATCATACAATACAGAGGTTAAAAAATAATTTACTATTAATAAAGAACTTATATTAAGATGAGAACAAATCAAATGCTATTATTTTCAAAGTGCTCTAATACTATGATTTTTTTCATGCACATAAAAAAATTTCCAATTTCCATAGCCTTGGCCTATCACAAAACCATGAACATTAAATACACTGCAGTTCCCTTCGAGTAACTTCAAGTTGTCCAACTACAGAGAAAGAGTGACTGTTTTATGGATAGGTTGAATAGCATTGCTTTTTTCCTTCAATTTTTTTTTTTCTAATTTGCTTTCAAAACTTCTCCCAAGAGCTGATCAGATTGGTTACCATAAACAATTAAATCCTCCAACTGTAATAAAACACTCTTAAGCTTTTAGAAGACGGAACTACTTAAACTCTGATTACAGTGGACACAACACTTTCTTTAATAACTGCAGTACACTAAAGTGAAAATGTAGATAAACAATATATGTCGCAGCAAATTCTACATCAGTCTAATAGCTGTCCTTTGCAAATATTAATGACATAGGTTTGGGGTTTATGCACATGCAGGCTTTTTTTTCCTTCAATGAAATCAGATTTCTCGTATCACATTATTTTACTTTACCTGCAATCAGTAGAAAGTTCATGATGCTATAATGATCTTGGATAATATTATCAAACCAGAACTTTATGCTTAAGAAATGCTTGGCTGAAGATAACATTTAGCTAAAAGAACGTTTATTTTCATTAGTTGAAGTGTTTATTACTAAACACATTTGTACATAGAATTATAAATTCTCAAGAAGTTGACTCAATTTTTTAAAAATTGAATTCCAGTAAAAGATATACAGGATACTTATCAGAGGGGGTTTTAGTGAAATGAATGAACACAGCAAGTTTCTGATTTGAATGAAAATATCGTAAGAGAGCCAGTAGACAGCCAAATAACATACCACATGAAAATATATTTGTGAGCAACAATACAAAATGAGAATTTGTCACTTGGGACACAAAGAAAACGTAAAACTCACCTCATAGCAAGTATCTGAATTTAAGCATGTGTATACTTTCTGCTGCATGTCTAGCATATCCTGGAGCAATTCCTTCCAGTGTATCTCACTGACTGATGGTTGCCTACAAATATTTTTTTTTAAATTAAATATTCTCTTTCTCAACAAATTTAAAGAAAAGCAGTAGATAACACTACAGTTCTATCACCAAAAATATGAGTTTTCTCAAATGCTATTTAAATCTTTAATTGGACTTTTAACCAAAAGTGATTTAAAGACAGAATGCTTTTAATATTAAAACAGTGTAGAATACAATTGTCTGACAACAACGCAGTACCCAAACTTTTTTCCTGTTTCTTTTCTGTGAGATAAAACAGGGATTTAAGCAATCTTTATCAAGATCCACCAAGTCGGTTTTGATAACTTCCAATAGCACAGAAAGTTGGACTTTATCTTCCTGTTGATCCAAGAACAGCTGGGCAAAAACAAGTTTGTAACAGCAACTGAGGATCATTAGAGTGCTGTTCATTGTAGGCAATCTCAAAGGACTAATCAATTGCATGCAATCACAGGAGAACATAGCTGCAAGTTTAGTTTGTTCCTTAAATTAGAATGGTATTCAGATTCTTGACCCTCTGGATCCATGGATATCTGTTTATCCAGAAAGCTTCTTATACAACTCATGTCCTCTATCAAAACTTTTCCTAGTAAAAACACTCTGAAGGCTTTTTGACATTATTTTGAGCTTTTTAGATTAAAAAAAAAGACTTCTTTAAGCTACACAAACTAGTGCAGCTAATAGTGATTTTCTCACGTGGCATTGACTTTCATTTTGGAAAAACAAAAGATCTCTACAAAAAGTGAAAAATCAACATTTTTCCTACAGAGTCATTGACCTGATCTTTCTCAAGTAAGGTTTTTAGAAGTCTTAAAAAGCTTTCAGCATGTCCAAGCTAAATACTACCCTACCATCACCGATAAACTGTTGTGCATGTTTACTTTAAATAAAATATAAAAAAACCCCACGAACAACAAACAACACACAATGATGGCTGTTTTTACCAGAGTTCAATCTTTTTTATCTTCTCATGCCAAGAGCCATGTAATAATTCATCTACAGTTGGAACACAATTTAAATGAAGTAGCTCTTAAACAGAAAAGTCAAAAAATTATACAGGAAATGTAAAAGGTAGAATTAATATGTTAAATCAATAAATTACCCTATTACAAGAGCTCCTAAGAAAACACAGCAAAAAAAAAAATGTTATTTTATAAATCCTACACCGTCAATAAAATTAAATAGGTCTTAAAGGACCTCATTTCCAATATGTTAACTTTTACTGTTCATCATCTTGCAGTGTTTTGCAGCAGTATGCCTTTTAGGCTTGTTTACTTGAACACAAACATACTGAAACAGGTTTGAAACCAGACAGAGGTTTTTTGAATGTGGAGAATGCAGCCAAAACACTGACCATGTTAATCATTGATGTAACTAATGTGCTTTATGTACACCGTGTTCTGTTTGAACACTACAGTTCCCTGTTGCAAAAACCCAGGCAGGTCCAGTCTCTGAAGATAAATACTGTTACCTTAGTGTCCTTTCCCCCTTACCCCCCATTCCCCTTCAAATACTCACTTGCGACCTGCGTGCCTTGTCAGTCTAATCATCAGCTTCTGTGCCTCCTCCGCGTTGTCCTTTGTGTCTTTCACAAAGGAAACAGGTTTCTGAAGTCCATGTTTCTCCAACAGCTCTGACACACTGTAAATGAATAGTCAACATTTTTGACTCCTGCACAGTTGTACAACTACTTCTGCTACAGCAGTCTTAAAGCTGTCTCAGACAATATACAGCAAATGCAAACAGTCTCCATAAAGTCTCTAACAGTATGGATTAGGCCAAGTAACATTATTTACTCAGAAAAAATTAATATTGTAGCGTAAAGGCATATCACCAATAACCTGATGACATCTTCACAGACAGCTTTTAGTTTTTGATCACTCAAAGCACTATAGAGTAGCAAGATCAAAACAAATTCCCTGGATATTTCAGAAGTAACCTTCCTCTCTCTCCAAAAGGCGCAAAAAAGATAAAAAAAAAAAAAAGCCCAACCCACACTTTTACTCCAAGGAAAATATCTGTGCAGTTTTATAATATTCAAACAGCTAAAACCATTAAACATTTCTAAGTTCTGAATACAAAAAACTTAATCTTGTTGACAGCACTAAAAACAAAGATAAATATTCTTCCTGCTTTCTTGTCATAAAAAAGTTCTTGGCTATGCCTAGTGACTTCTGTAAGAATACATGAATTATTTTAGCAAAATTAAATACCTAAGAATTTGTTCCAGTTCATCTACTTCATCATGAAGAGTGTTAGTTTTATCTGTTTCAGGCCTGCAAAGATATAATACAATTAATAATAAATATGCATATATCTCTCCATACTTCTTGTAATTTCTTCATGTAATTCATATTACACAGATATCAAGATAAGCAATTTGAAACATTTCTGATGAAAATGAGGTATGTGTTTGCCTGAAATATTAAAACTCTTGTCTTCTTGCTAGAAGGATAGCTAAAATTTAGAGGGTCCCTCAGTCTCCCAACAACAGAGCTTTTCCTTCTTACTTAAGACTTTTCGCTTAAGGCTCTCTCCTTCCTACATGTAAAAGATACTGAGATAACAGTGTTTATCTCCTCATGTTTTCACTTTCTCGTGAATTATTTGTCCTTCATACAGGTGTTCTATATAGAGACCTCTCTCAAAGGGCCATATTGCTGCTTATACACTAAGTGCAAGATGCCACCAACTGTAACAACATCAAGAAGATCTGTACTAACACTTGGTCTGAATGCACCAGGATATAAAAGTCTAAGAAACTAATACAGAAGCCTTGGTCTAGGCTGCTACTTCAAATCATGTTTTGTTGCATTATTTGGTAGAGTATACATGCAGCACTAGCATACATATGACCATGGCAACTTAGCAACAGAATATTCCAGTAACATCACCAGCCCGTTAGTGATTTAACAACTATTTTTGAAGTATTAATTCACAAATATATTTAACATATATAAAATATTTACAAATAACTAGCTGAAAACGTTTACCCGTATCCTCTTTGTGGAAGACATTCCAAAATATCGTAACAGAGAGAGAGCTGGTCATCTCGTTCACAACTATAAATACATTCCAGTGCCATAACCATAAGCTGGTCTTGATCAGGAATAATTTTTTGCTGACACTAATAAGAAAAGAAAGCATATTATTTTTAGTTTTCTGTTTCTAACTCAACAGTTAAGTTTCTTCTGAATATAAAAAGATGTGTACTGCAAGTAAATAAATTGTCTTTAGTTGTAACTAGAAGATCTCTTGCTACCAACTTAGTGAAGTACCTGTTCAAGCCAGAACCTGAAACATAACTTGGCTAGGTCCCTACACTGCAGACACTTGAAAGAACAGTGGTACACCACTATACCCTTTTTGAATTTGGGAGGTGGAGAGGGTGCAGGGCAGAGGAGGGAAACTGCTGCAAACATTTTTATCATGTTTATCATGTCATATCATAAAACAACAGTTTTATTTAGTATGTACAAAAACATATATATAAAATAGCTGTGGTTTCCTTCACTGGTTGATTTCTGTCTGTACACTTAGAATGTTCAATAGTATGCAAAAATGTACTTATGTGCCCTGGAATAATAATTTAAACTGTAGAAGCAGCACGAAATACTCACATGGAAGGTAACTTCAATCCTTACTCATTGAACTCTTGGCTGCATCCTAATGGCCCCAATTTTATTCTTCACATTTGTTGAGCAAAGAGAGGGGCAAGGAGCGAGGGGCAAGGGGAGTGGGGCAAGAAATAGCTTGAAATCTACTACTAGTAAAATTCCTCAGGAAAAAAAAATTAGTGAGAACATGAAACTCCTTCACATCCATTTTTTAAAAAGCAAGTATGTCAAAAATTTAAACACATCACCAGAAAATTACTTCAAAGATAACTCTTTACAATAATTTTTGTTCCACTAGATCAAGATCATAATTACATCAGTTTGACAATCTCCTTGAGGACAGTTTATTTGCATCATAATTTATGCTATAATACTTTTTAATTAATGTTTTCTAAAGCATAACAAATCCCAAGTCCAATAAGAAGGGAAAGATCATGGAGAAGATTTGATTTAGAAGATGAGCTAACCCTATTTACGAATTCACCTCTTCAGGACAAGAATTTCCAAAGAAACCAGTAGAATTATGAGGGTTCTATACTTACGGCAGGTTTTGAACTCTGAAATATCTTCAGAGGTAGACTCAGGTCTTCCTTTGCTAATGTTACTAAATACTCTTTGAAAAGTGAATTTGCCAGACCAGGGGACCGATTTTCACAGCGGTGGAGAAAAGGGATCATCCATTGATAAACATTCTTCACATATTTTTCATCAGAGGACTGGAAAGCACAATCATATACAGAGAAGGGGAAAAAAAGAACAAGTTTAGCATCATTGTCCAAAACAAACAAGAAAACCAAAAAACAAACAGAACGTATTTTGATCAATGTAACTGAAACAGTCTTTTCACTCATCACAAAAAACAGCTGAAGCCTATCATTCACCACTGGTGCACATATCACTAGATCACAAAGCACTGAAACAATCCATGATCTTTCTGATACCAAATGACCTGGGGAAACCAAGCAGTACAGGAGTAAAGCCTGTTACAAGAGGAAAGCCTAGCTGTTTTCCTCCTGCAATTTCAGAATGAGAGAGAGAGCAGCTTGCATTCATGTCAGAGTAACATTACTTTCAGTATGCAGGAAAGCAAGAC